GTCAATATTGTTCACAAAGTTTCGAATAAGTGCACTTTGATCTTATCGTATAACTCAACAACTTAAAAACGTGGGCGCATTATAAGAGAAGAAATAAGTTTATGTGAAATCAATACTTTATGATAAACTTAAATTAATGCGCCCACGTTTTTAAGTTGTTGAGTTATACGATAAGATCAAAGTGCACTTATTCGAAACTTTGTGAACAATATTGACTAGGATATAAAAATTTATTAAATATAATCTGAAAATTTAAAACCAAATTCTTTACAACCAAGAATAAAAGTTATTTTCTACTTTTTAGTCTACGCGAAAAACGTAGTTTTTTTAAAAAGTTTTTTTTATAAAGTATTTTTTATACTTAAATTGCTTAATAGTGCAAAATAAGTTTTTAAAGTTAATTTTTTAAAAAAAGATGTTTTGAATTTTATTTCAGATATTGGAACTTTTGCTGAAAATGATTTAAGCTGACCCTTACAAATTAAGCCCATCAATTCTGAATGTTTTTAAAAAGCATAAAAATTCAATGATAACACATTCCTAATGCTATTTTTTGGTAAGTCAATATCAATTTACTTTTAATTTTTTTTATTTCCGGAAACGTTTTAAAATATTACTCTAAAATAATGAATTTTTTTGAGCTGATAAATCGAGCTTTTGCGATTTTTACAAAAAAAATTGAAATCAAATAGATTCGCATGTAACGGTTTTTTGAGATTCAAATTTTTCAGAGATCGAAGCCGATTTTTTCGGCTTAACTCAATTTTTGATTTTTTTTATAGAAAAAAGCCATTTGACACCCATTTCAAGTATTTAAATTGAACTTTACATGCTTTACTATGATTCTGTGTAATATTTTGTCAGCATGTAGCTATAGGAAGCTCAGAATTTCAAGTTAAAGAATGTTAAGCCGAAATTTAAGCCGATCGGCTTAAAATCGGCAAAATGAAATTCTGAGCTCACTATAGCTACATGCTGACAAAATATTACACAGAATCATAGTAAAGCATGTAAAGTTTAATTTAAATACTTGAAATGGGTGTCAAATGGCTTTTTTCTATCAAAAAAATCAAAAATTGAGTTAAGCCGAAAAATTCGGCTTCGATCTCTGAAATTTTTAACCGGAAAAAAACTGGAGCATCTAGTGAACACTTGTGAAATAACATCAGACGCCTAAGTGGTAAAGCGTTGACCTTATTAGCCAAAGTTCCTGGGTTCAATCCCAGACCAGTTTTGAGTTCTTTGGAATAAAACGTGTCTCTTTTGCTAAGTACTTTACATATTTGCAATGTGCAGAAATTGCAAGTGGTTCAGATAAATGTTAATGAAGATTTCTAAGATTTACATTCTTGACAAACAGTTAAAATGATTTTATTGCATAAAAATTTTTTTTATACATTTGAGTTCAAAAACTCAATTTATTTAGATCTTTTCTAAACAATTTTACTGTTAGATTAAAAGAATAAAATGGAAGTTAACAATAAAATATTGTTTTCGGTTCGCAAATTCTAAGTTCCAAAAAATGATAGAAATTCCATTATTAAAATTTAAAGCTTTTTCCGGAATTTAATTGAAACTGATGAATTCAACTAAATTTTTGGATGTGAAAATGTAGTAAATTGCTATTCTTTCTCTCATCACTTCCATAATTTCTTTTTAACAAACTTTCTATATTTACCGATATTTACTTACTTTTACAATAAATCGTTGTCATTAATAAAAATATTATTGATATTTTGTATTCGAAGATTTCAAATTGTTATTGAGTGTGTCCCATGTACAATTTTAAACTGATATTTGTTATCCAATACTTTAATTGAACTTGGAAACAGTTTGAAGCATGTATCATACTAAAAATTAAAAAATTAAAATAAAGTACAAATGCAAAAGACAAGATGCTAATCGCCTCATAATAAACTATAATTACACGCAAATTTGAACAGCTAGAGCATTCAGAAGAAATATTTTAATTGAGTAACTATAAAACAACATAATATGAGCAACACAAAAAACAAGGCATAAAACATTTTAAATTTAAAGATTAAAATGCACCGAAATAATTGAGAAAAAAATATAAAATCTCATCAATTTCATACAAAAATGTTTATCTAAGGGGCCGTTTACTTTTGACGTCATACAATTGGGGGGATAGGGTCTTGGATTTTATGACAAAGGAAGTTTTTTAAAAGAAATTTTTGTACCGGCGCGATGAAGAAATATCTTAAAGTAAGCGACCTCTTATCTTTACATGCAGTAATTCAATAATTTTAGCATTCTTTATGTGCAAAAATCGTGAAAGCTTGTTATTTCATTCTCAATTTTACTTTTTTGCTGATTGAACTTTTTTAATGATATTATTTCTCTTTCAACTAATTGTAAAACTTTTTACACTTACTTCTGTTTAATTTGGGTTAGATTTCTTCACTTTCAATTAAAATTATACTTTCATTCATGGTGGGCTTCGGGCTACGAAAGTAAAAATTTTCATTTGTTTTATCGATCAAAAGAGTATTTAATGAAATATTTGAACACGAGAGAAAGAGTTTTTTGATGATTCATATACTGTAATCAATTCGGAGAGATTTCCAAAAATATATTTTTTTCGTTTCTTCTTTGTACCTTTTATGATTGTCTGAATTGATTTTTTTACTCAAAATATTACTTAATATACTCGATTATATTTTTTATATTTATGTATCTAGAGTTTTTACTCAAAAGATAGATTATATATGAAAACATATTTTTTGGACAATACATAAATGTTGGGAGTCTCATTTGAATTTCCACCATTATGTCTATTTTTCAAACTTTTAATTTAACACGAGTCTCTTAACTCAAATAAATATGCTTTAAGAAAATTCACATAAGGCATAAAAAACCCTAGTTGACAACTTAAACATTCAACCAATATTTAGTTTAATTTCTTTTTTTACAATTTTGAGCCAAATAAACAACTAAGGTTTTAAGGTTTTAAGATCTAACGGTTTTTTTAAATTTTTCGTTGAGCAGATTTTTCCCTATAAAGCGTTTGCGTTGCTCGGAAGCATTGAATTTTGTCAAAAGAATAGATTTTTTCTCTTAATTAAAGCAATATATCAAAGATGTTATATTTAAATATGATAAAACTCAAGATATTCTATCATTCAGTATGTATTAAGTATAATAAAAATATATTTTTGATAGTAATTTATTGATTCTTCGTAATTGAATTTAATTTTTGATAGCCGAGCAACACTTAAAAAAAATTGAAAAAACGAATGATTTAAGCTAATTAACGATTTATAAATGACTTTAAGAGATAGAATTTAGAAAATACATATTTTTTAATTAAGAAAAAACATGATTTAGTGGAAAAATAAAAAGAAAAATCAATTTGAAAGTGACTGGATAATCGCCAAGTCAAAAAAGTTTTTGGATTTAATTTAAATCATAATTTTATCGTTTTCCATTAGAAATGAAGTGACATTATTATCTACCTGGAAGATAAAGGTGGCATTATTATCTCTCCGGGAGAAATACACCTTTATTTTTTAGTTGGATTATTCGATAGATCTATATGGAACACATAAAAATTTGTGTTTTTCGGGGTTATTATTCAGCAGGATTGTGGAATTAATATCTTTCGAGTGCAAAATAAAGTTATCATGATTTTAGTGAGTCGTCGAATATTTTGAAAAATCAAAGTTTTCTTTTAAAAATTACAAATCAATTTGACAAATAATTTTTCTGAACTTTCCTAATGCCAAACGTTATTTAAAGATAAATGGTGAAGAGATCATTAGCGAGAACAAAAAAGCTTTTGAATTCGAATTTTCTTTAATAAGCCACTGGTTTAGTAAATGGTAGTGGCTTTTAACGTAAAAACAGGGTAATTTATTCAAAATTTAAAAACTTTCTAATATGATCGTTTTTTAAAGTAAATTTATTGGTTCTATTTAATTAATCGTTATGTTTCAAGGCTATTGGTGAATTAAATAAAGCTGGTAGATGATTTTTTACTGAACCATGGATTTATTTACTGATCTACGTGAAAATTACTCTTTTTACCCGTTCACATTTACGAAGATGACTTCTTAATTGGTTTTTGTTTTGTCTCGTTTTAAACGAAGGTAAAAAAAACAAGATTACAATAAAGAATCAAAACAAAAATGCTCAGTTTCGGGACTTTTAAGATACAGCTTTAGGGCAAAATTATGGGTTTCTTTTTTATTCTCTTTCAATAACATTCCATTTTCTTCTACAAACGAGTGTTAACAATAAAGCAAAATAATCGCAACTGTAATTATAATGACAAACTTCATTAATTTTTTTAACATCTAATTACCGCAAATAGCTTTAAATGACTGTTTATTACTCTGTTCTTCCTAATATTAATTAGCAAAATAATTAAGCATAGTATTTTTTATCTGCTAAAGGGTCATTCACTTATGACATCCATTATTTAGGAGGGAGAGGGTCTTGTGGCAAATATAACTTTTAATATCTTAATTTATTTTAAATACATTTGATTTTAAAGCTCATCAAAAATAATTACTCTTTTAAGTATTAATAAAAGATTTCCATAATAATTGATTATGGTAGTATTTTAATTTTAATATTCACACCGTATGCACGTGTGATAATATTCACACTGGATTTACGTGTGAATGTCCTGTTTTTGTTCAGATTGAAAAATCAGTTTTTCAAATTTTGCTAGGAAATGGAACAAGAAAGTTTAAAATGCCCAGAAATGAAAGGTTTGTGCCTGAAATTTCACATCTTCTGCATAAAAACAGATTTCAAATTGATTGCGCCATTGCTCAAAATACTTCATTGGTTATGTCCTTACGGACGATTGATTACCGCAACTCTGTACAACTGTATGAACCAAGGTATATCAATGAAAAGTTCCCAGCCACAATTTGTGTGGTTGCGATTCACACAAGCCGAGTCGCAATGACTAAAACAGCGAAATATAAATCAATAGGGTTGCTTTTTTGCTTTTAATACACTTTATTGATTGATAATAAAGTGATTTTTAAAACTACATAATTGGATGTTATTTCCATGTAATAATTAATTTTAAACAATTTTTGTGTAAAAAAAACTAATCAAATGTCAATCTTTTATATGTTTGCAGGAAGTCCCGAACCATTCACAATGCGATGGAGTTGTTGGAAAGCTTCGTTTTTGTTATTTTTGTTTGATTTAATCATTAAGTTCTCAATAGCTACAGCTAGTCAAAATTTCAAAATAAGTCCAAAACCTTGTATAGTGGGTGAAGTAGATGGGACATGTATGTTCGTATGGGAGTGTATTAAATCTGAAGGTACACATCTAGGAATGTGTATGGATGGATTTATGTTTGGCTCATGTTGTGGGCATAATTTAACTGATAATTTTATTTTACCTTCATCAACACCATTCCGCCCACCCAACAAACCTACAAATAAGTATAAACCTACAAAAAGTCCAAGTCAACCTCCCAAACCTAATATTAGTCATGAAACATTAACGATACAGAGGCCGAATGGCAGTGGAACTCTAGTTATAAGACAAACACCTCATCCACAAAGAATAAAATCTACAACGATTGCTACAAAAAAGCCGTATTCAACGACAACGAAAAATCCATTTGATATTTTTAACGATTCATCGAATGAGCTTAGTGCTTCGGAAAGTGTCTCTACTAGTAAGCAATTCAATTTCCATTTGCCAGTTATGGTTTATAACAAGATTGATTTATTTTATCTATAGATTATTGGACATCAACTCCTTGGCAAATTTCAACTGAGCCTAATTTTATTACTAAACCAAAACCATCAACATGGGATAAAACAACTCCTGAGAAACAAAAACCAACAAAAAAGCCTATCTTTTTTAGTACGTTGAATGATACTCCAACAAGAAAGCCAACAACAATTAAACCTAGGCCTCCAGTAAAATAAACTTTATTTTTGACTATTAAATACTATTCAAAATATTAATTTTTTTAAGGTTAAACCAGTAAAACCTTCACCCGAAACAAATGTTATTCAAACAACAGCAATCAGTAGACGACCAACTACAATAGCAGCATTATCAACAACATCTACTATAAGTCCATCATCTATTAGTTCTAGTGAAATTTTAGAAAATACTATATCAGTAGAAAGTTTACATTTTTCTGCTAGTCCAGGACGAGATACAATTTCGGCAGCACGAAATTATGATTGTGGCATATCTTCAGCAACATCTGCTCGTCCAGAAGTAAGAATTGTTGGTGGAAAAAATGCCGGTTGGGCTCAATACCCATGGCAAGTCTCAGTCCGACGGACCTCATTCTTTGGATTTTCAAGTACTCATAGATGTGGAGGTGCCGTTCTAAATGAAAACTTTATTGCTACAGCAGGTAATGAATTATGCATTTAATTATTTGCTATTATTTGATATTTCTGCAAAAAGAAAATTTATGATAATGTTTTCATATTTAAGGGCATTGTGTTGATGACCTTTTAACATCACAAATACGAATTCGTGTGGGAGAATATGATTTTTCACATATTCAAGAGCAGCTTCCATATATAGAACGTGCAATTTCAAAAAAAATTGTTCATCCAAAATACAATTTTTACACATATGAATATGATTTAGCTTTAGTAAAATTAGAACAACCTCTAGAATTTGCACCACATATTATTCCGATTTGTTTGCCAGCCACTGAAGATTTGCTTGTTGGCGAAAATGCAACATTAACAGGTGAATTCTATTTTGCAGCTTATTCACAAAACTACCTGCTTTTATTAAATAAAAGTAAATTATAAAAATATTTTGTTAATCACATAGGCTGGGGACGACTTAGTGAAGGAGGAACTTTACCTTCAGTTCTTCAAGAGGTAATAGTTTATCTTTGAATTTTTATAAATTTCCTTTAAACCAGGGTTGTGCAAACTTTTTTCAGCTACGGCACAATTTGACTTTAAATATTTTTTCATGGCACACCTATATATTATTCTTTAAAAATCATCATTTTTTATGTCGACATTTTTTTTTGCTTCTGCACTACAGTCCATTTTTTAGTGTAAAATCTACAAATTTCTGAAAAACTACCTAGTTTTGGTTTTTTTACAACACCATTTAAACGAATGTATGATCTAAAATTGCCAGATTTTTTAAAAAAAATATTGCCCAAATTAGATGCAAAATTTCTGAAATTGATTAATTTTTACCAGATTTACAGATTTTCATCTGTATAAATAAAATAACTAAAAGGCTCATAACGTTTTAATTTTTTTCCTTTAATAGGTATCAGTTCCTATAGTAAGTAATGATAGGTGTAAATCAATGTTTTTGCGAGCTGGAAGGCACGAGTTCATTCCTGAAATATTCTTATGTGCAGGACATGATTTAGGGTAAATATAAAAAAATTGAGCTACATACCCGAATAGACAAAGAGTCTCTCTTTCAAAATCTTCATTTGCTCAAGAGCATACTCATGCTCGAGAGCGTGCTCAAGAACACATATATTGAGCATACTCTGAGTACACTCACGAGCACACTCACTGAGTGTACTCAAATTTCATTAGCGTAAAGTAGTGGCATAACTTTTCGTATGAAAGAGCACGCTCACGCGAACATGCTCAGCACTAAATTTGAGCGCGCTCATAGAGTGCTCTTTGTCTATTCGGGATATCTGTTATTTATTATCTGTTTGTACTTTCATCGTCTTTTTTAATATTTATTTTTATATAACTACTGAAATATTCTTTTTTTATTTACAGCAAATTTGATTCATGTCAAGGTAGTAATTTTTTTTTTGTTGTATAATTTTATTGTTGAAATTACTTAAATGTTTTCTCTATTTTCTAGGAGATTCAGGTAATGTTGTGTATATTTCACTTTAATCAAGGTCATAGCCAGAATTTTTTTAAATTTACTTGTAATAAAAAATTTTATGCTCAACACTAGGCTTTTCCGATTTCCCGGTCGCGTCCCGAAAAATATGCTTGCAAAACTTATTAATTTTTATAATATAGGTAATAAGTTGTTTATATAGTAAAATGCTTAATTTGATTTTTTTTATGTTCACACGTAATCAGTTTTTCGAATTTTGCGACGAAAAGGAGCAAAATTCCTTCACATGTCCAGACACAAAAAGCTTGTACCTGAAATTTCACATCTTCTGCAAAAAATAGATTTCAAATTGGTTGCGGCATTGCTGAGAAAATCGCAAAATACGCTTTCTGTATTCAGCAAGCAAACAAGCAAGTTAATCAGCAAGAAGTCTCAATAACGAGACATCATAGAGACTTCTAGTTTTTATATTTGATCCGTGTTGCTCTATAGAAGAGCTGTTTTGTTTTGGGCCAATGTAGGAACAGGTATCGCTTCAGAAAAAGCAAAAAACTTTCCTTTCTTACGAATTTTCCAAAATAAAAGTTCACTGCTATTTTTATAAAATTCAACCATGAATGACAAAAATCAAACAGAAACTTAAAGAATGTTTGGCATATTCGTCAAGCTTTAAACCTTCAAACATATGCTGTGAATATATCCGCATTGGATTTCTACCCGATACACTAGTTTTCGTTTTGTGATATATATGTAAGAACTGTTATCAAACATAAGTCAAAAGCGTAAGCTTTTGACTTTCTACTTAAGTCGTGTTTTTAAAAATTCGCATATGATTCATAATTGATCTTAATTTTGTATTGATTCACTGAGTTGAGTTATCGGTTTTTTATAAATTAAATGCTAACGTGTTTTCAAAATTCATATGTTTGACATCAAGTCGAAATTTGTTTAAAATTTGGTTCTGTAAAACAGCGTATTTCATAAACACCACATATATTTCCAAGTGGTGGATATAATCACACGTGTGTTTTTATTCACCACGTACAATTGCAAGTGGTGTTTCTGGAAACACATGTGTTTCATATCACCCGAAAATTTAATCTGTGGGCGTTTTGAAGATTAGTGTAATATTTTTTGAAGTTTGAAAAAAAAATGAAAAAAATCAGTTTTGATTCTCATTTTTTTTTAAATTTATTTATTTTTTTTTATTTTAAAAAAATATTTCTCATGATTGCAACACCTATAAGCATAAATTTCCGTTTTTCATAACATAAATCATCATAATAGACCTAAACATCATACTATTTTTTTTTTTGTAAGTGGTAGTTATAGAAATTACTGTATTGATATTTTTGTAGTTTAGGGTCCTTCACAAATTCGAAAATTTTGTTTTTAATTCTGTGTAAAACAGGAATGGGCAATTCTTTGGATGATTATTGGAAAATGTTCAGCAAAAAATCAAAATTTTATTAATTTTTCCTATTAGAGGCTCTGATTTTATGATTCTTATCGATGGAAAAAAATAAAGTGGATAATATTTTCGACGTCATATCCCTAATTGGCAAAGAGCACAGAAAGAGCACACTCTAATTTTTGCTGAGTGTACTCTAAAAAGCATGCTCTTTCATACAAAAGTTTGTGCCACTACTTTACGCCTAAAAGTGTACTCACCAGAGCATACTCACTCAGTTATACTTTGAGCACACTCTTGAAATAAAACATTTTTTTATGTGTCATGTCACATGTGACACACTTTATGCTCAATTAAGCACATAAAACATATGCTCAAATGAGCATACTTAGTTTGACATACTTTTAATATACTCATAAAAGTACATCTTAATCTGACTATTGATGTACTCAAAAGAGTATACTTTGAGTGTACTTTAAAGGACGTAATAAATAAAAATTATTATTTTTTTTCATTCTTTTTACACTTTTTTGATAGATCATGATGTTTTATGATAAATTTTTCCATTTTCATATTTTTCCACGCGTTTTCCGAGCTTTTCACGGAGTTTCTCACTTTTTTCCATACATTTTTCATACCAAATTATTTTTTTGCAATAACTTTTGTATCTTTTAAACTTTTAATCTGAAATTTGGCATGTAGGTTAAGTGGTTGTTCCTGAATATATAACCGACGCTATTTTGGATTCTAAGGGTTGGAAACCTATGTATAATTTATTTTAGCTATAACTTTGAACTTTTTTGAGATTATGAGTTGTAATTTGGCATAGAGGTTAATTGACTGTTTCTTAATGTGAAACCGATGCCATTTTGGATTCTAAGGAGCAAAAATAAAGCAAAAATTGCTAAGAACTCGTGTATCGGGTAGAAACCCAAGTTATCCATAAGTTTGAAGGTATTAAGCTAGTGAATCAGTTGAGCTTCGCTCAGCATAAATTTGAAGGTATGAAGCTAGCGCGTCAGCTGAGCTTCGCTCAGCATATGTTTGAAGGTTTAAAGCTTAACGAACATTCTTTGAAAGATTTTTAAAATTTTTTTTTTCATCAAAAGTTTAATTTTATAAAAATCACAGTGAACTTTTGTTTTGAAAAATTCGTAAGAAAGGATTTTTTTTTGCTTTTTCTGAAGCAACGGCTGTTCCTACCTTGCCTAAAAACAATGCAGCTCTTCTATAGAGCAGCACGAATCAAATGTAAAAAACTAGAAGTCTCTACGATGTCTCGTTTCTTGCTGATTAACTTGCTGGCTTGTTTGCTTACAGAAAGCGTATTTTGCGATTTTCTCAGCAATGCCGCAATCAATTTGAAATCTGTTTTTTCTGCAAAAGATGTGAAATTCCAGGCACAAACTTTTCATCTCTGACCATTTTAAGCTATCTTGTTCAATATCCTCACAAAATTCAAAAAACTGATTTTTCAATCTGAACAAAACCAATAGATTCACACGTGAAAACGGTGTGAATATAAAAAAAACCCAAAAACGTTTACTGTGATGAAATTTTCAAGTACTCCACAAACGAAATTGTAAAAGTCAAATTTAAAGGAACTGAAGCATCCAAGTAAAAATTTTTAGATGTCAAAAGGTCTTAAATCATGATTCTCATCAGTTTCAATCAAAATGTTGGTCATAAACTGCATCGGAAGGAAGTATTGCAAAAATTTCATTTTTCGTCAATTTTTTTCCAATACAAAAGTAAAGTGCTGAAGCATACAAACGATTTCAAACTGATATTTATAAACTTTTTTTTTAAATTAATATTTTGAGTATATTTGAAAGTGCACTCAGAAAGTGTACTCAGATGAGCATAATGTTTCTTACATAAACTTTAAAAAATGTTGTTATAAGGTTTTAGAATGAGTGGACTGTATTTCAATGACTATTTCGAACAGTGGTACAATTGCAACTAAAATCAAACTAATTTTACAACATTTTCAAAGATATCTGCGATCATTTCTTTCTTAGTAATAAAATGTTGATTCACCATGTAACAAACTGCCACCTCGACTTATGATGAATAACAAAGACTTCACATCTTGATGATGATTCGTTGATAGTTTTGATAACAAATATCTTGAAAGACAATTCGTTGGAGTGTAGTCCCTAGTGTAGTGTTCTATTGCATTTAGTTTGAGTGTCTAATAGAATAATTCTGTTCTAGAAGCTACCAGAATGATTCTGTCCTGATAGATCTTGAGATATACTAATAGAATAATTCTGTTCTATTAGTGCCTATTGAAAATCTGCAGAATAATTCTGTTCTGCCAGATATGATTCGGAAGAGATGAGTTTGATTGCAAAACTTGAATGGTCGTCCAAGTATTGCTAGAGATGAGATGAGATAAAATTAACTTGAATGTTGATCCAAGCTTGTTAAGACGACTTGAGCATGATAAAACTTGATTTCTTAATTCATACTCTCAATACTATGAGAGAGTTCTACCCTCTCGACAAAAATTCATGTTTGAGTTGCTTCTTGCGAATTTAATAAAGAATTTGAGTTGTTGCTATGCAAGCTTGTATGATGATTCTCTTCACAAACTTTACACCTAGAATTACTATTGCAATCTTGCTTGCTGTGTCCAGGTCTAAGACAGTTCATACACAATTTGTATTTTTCAATTTGCACATTTTTGTTTACTACGAGTGATGTCTTACTTGACTGTGATGTGATACTTTCATCAGATAACGATTTGAACAATCCAAAAAAATTCCCTTCTCGATAAGTGAATGCCAATGATTTTATACGTTGATCCATGAATTTACAGAAAGCAGTCCAACTTGGCTTTTCATCACTACTGTCAATATGGATATCTCTCATTCTCTCATGAGATTTTTATCAAAACGATTCCTGACAAATTGTTCGAAAATCATGTCCAATAATTCTTCTGGTGTAACTTTCATCAAATTGAATGCTGCACGATGACTGATGTAAGTATCTAGGAATCTCCTTGCTTCTGATAAGGAACCATCAATAGGACCACTAATTGTCATAAGAGAATTTGTGTATTGCATCAACAAAACTCTTCAATCGTCAAATCTTCGACATAACGCTTCCCAGGCAGATTTGTAATTGTCTCCTGAGAATTGATAGTTGTTCAATATATTTTGAGATTCTGGCTGAATGTTCACTGATGAATTCAAGTAATGGAATTTGTCAATGTCTGAATACATTGGGTTTGAATGTATCAAGGAGATATAAGTATCTTTAAAAGATATCCAATTGCTAAAGTCTCCATTGAATTCTGGAAGTTTTATTTCAGGAAGTTTCACTCTTCTTGTTGATGATGTCGATGGTTGAATTGCGTTTACTTTGACTTCTTAACGTCTCTCTTGCCCTTTCTTCAGAGTTTCTATCTTTACTGCTAACTCAAATGTTGTAATAACTGCAAGTTTCTTGAACAAAGTAAACTTCTGAGTTTCAACATCATTTTCTTGTTTTCGATGTAATAGTTCAAATTCAATGAACACTTCGTTGAATTCATCTAACATGTCTTTGAACACATCATGATACACTTTTGCTTCTTCAAAATTTGTTTCTTCCTTTATCATATCATAAGTGCTTTTTATGCTTTCAAAATCTTCGATTATTGAATTCAGCTTTGCTTTCTTTCCTTCATATGTATTCATTATTGCTTATTCTTGTTGAACTTTGCTTCAACAAATCTGCCAGCTTCAACTTGAACTTTCTTCAAAATTCTTCTTCAAATTTTCCAATTTCTTTCAATATTCAATTTCTAAGTCTACTCCACGTCTTGTTTCACTGTTTCAATCTCAAGGTTCGAAGGACCAATAAAAAATGTTGTTATAAGGTTTTAGATTGAGTGGACTGGATTTCAATGACTATTTCGAACAGTGGTACAATTGCAACTAAAATCAAACTAATTTTACAATATTTTCAAAGATATCTGCGATCATTTCTTTCTTAATAATAAAATGTTGATTCACCATGAAACAAACTTATTACAAAGACGTGATCAGTGTACATTTGAGAGTGCACTCAAAAAGTGTACTCAGATGAGCATAATTTTTCTTACATAAACTTATCACAAAGACGTGATCAGAGGACATTTGAGAGTGCACTCAGAAAGTGTACTCAGATGAGCATAATGTTTCTTACATAAACTTATTACAAAGACGTGCTCAGAGTATATTTGAAAGAGCACTCAGAAAGTGTACTCAGATGAGCATAATGTTTCTTACATAAACTTATTACAAAGACGTGCTCAGAGTACATTTGAGAGTGCACTCAGAAAGTGTACTCAGATGAGCATAATGTTTCTTACATAAACTTATTACAAAGACGTGATCAGAGTACATTTGAGAGTGCACTCAAAAAGTGTACTCAGATGAGCATAATGTTTTTAAATGTGAATTATCAGAAAGATATGCTCTGAATATGCTCTTGAGTACACGAGAGTATACTGTCTTTGAAATTACACTCACATTTGTCATACTCACAATGTGAGAGAAGACATACTCAATAAGTATACTCAAGAGAGCACATAAAGAAACGAAAACATTTTTTTGAAACAAAACTCATTGACATTGGATTATGAAGCTCATTTTTTTAAAATTCTACTCATCCAAAGAATTGTCCTTAAAAAAACATTTCAACATCATTTTGGATAGTCAAAGCTTGAAACTTAAAGCAGCTTTAAATTTGAAAAATTTGATATCCTATACAAAATTGGAATTTTCGTCATATTAATTATTTCGACATAACTAGTGCTCCATGTTAACATGTCGGAATTAAAATATCAAATTTCTATATTGCTTTAATATTTCAAAAAGTTTCTGGATAAAAAAACTTTTGGAAGTGCTTTAAAATTAATTTTAATACTTTCCCGAAATTTATTTTTAAATTTCACATTTAATGGATTTTTGTACTTGCACGTGTTTCAATCATGAAAAATATTTTTTTTAAATGAAAAAATAAAAAAATTAAGATTGCATTTAAAAAAAATGAGAATAAAACCTGATTTTTTTCACAATTTTTCAAACTTCAAAAAATATTACACTAATCTCCAAAACGCCCATAGATTAAATTTTCGGGTGATATGAAACACATGTGTTTCCAGAAACACCACTTCCAATTGTACGTGGTGAATAAAAACACACGTGTGATTATATCCACCACTTGGAAATATATGTGGTGTTTATGAAATACACTGTTTTCCAGAAATACCACAAACATTTTCAAGTGGTGGTGTTTTTCGTTTGTGGGGGCTTCGGGGAATTTGCGTGCGGATTCTGGTCTGTGCAAGAAGTTTTATAAGGTAATATTTTTGACTCTGGCATCGGGAAAGCCTACGCAAAACTCCGAGCATTTTTATAATTTTTATGGTTTGAAACTAAACTCTTCTGTCAACACGCCTGATTAGAAAACTTAATAATTGCTTAGTATTTTTTTTATATGCTTCCTAAATTTATCGAAATTTCTAGGTGGTCCATTGGTGAGTTTTTTATTAAATACTTAAGTTTACGTAAATTCAAAAAGTAGATTTATTTCATTTTTTTTTTCAACATAGCAAGTCAAAGGTAAAGATGGGCACTATTTTCTTGCTGGCATTATATCATGGGGTATAGGATGTGCAGAACCAAATTTACCTGGAGTGTGTACAAGAATTTCAAAATTTGTACCATGGATATTGGAAAATGTATCATAAATTAAATAAAAGAATTTTCCCTATCAAAATGATAGTAACAGGAAGATACATGCTACAGCCAAAAAATTATTATTGAAAGAATCAATTATTTATAGCTGTTTTCTTTATTAAACTAGTCTATTAGGTTTTCATCTTTAAAAAACTTACATTACATGTCACAACTATTCAGAATCAAAATAAAACATACGTAATGATCATTTTGCAATTAGCACATTAGAATAATCTTACTATTGATTTAAAAAAATTAACTACGCATTATTGCATTAATTTTTATTACCGATTAGTACTGAATCAGAAATAATCTTAAAGTATTAAGACTAGAATATCTAGCAAGCTAAAAATGAATTTATGCAGACTAATTTAGAGTTGTTTGTGATTATTTAAATAAAAAGATCCTTTTGGATTGCTCATATTATTTGTTTCATAATGTATAAGAATTGAAAAAATAAAATGAAACTGAACATTTAATTTTATTTAAGCTTAGAAAATAAACATTTTTTTACATTTTCGTCGTTTGCAAATAACATTAATCAAATATTATAATTTTCAGATCTTTTTTCATTGAGTTGACTTTTTTCTACATTTGTAATTTTAAAGAATAACGCCTAGGTAGCTTAAGTCTCGTGATAAATATTATTTCCTGTTGAGTATAGTCGCTATAAATTGTTACTTTAATTAGCAACAATTTCTCTGATTAGAATTTTGTTTATGAATGTTTACTTTTCAAAGGACATTGATCAAAAAATTTCTTCTTTTCGGAATTTATCTCTCTACGGATGAATTTGCGCTGAAAAATGTTTAATTTTCTTGACTCTATATCAACGTCTTATATTTTTTAAAACTTTTAAAAACCGATAAAATTTGAGTTTTAAAACTGTTGAGATTTACGATACGGGTTGAGTCGTCTCGCAGCTCGTCTCTGGAAAGCCTCTCTCTCAGCCTTTTTACACGTTTGAACTGTCACGAAGATGTGCAAGTAATACCACTTCGCGTTTCTCTATCTCTGCTTTTATCGCCTCCCACGAATCTTCCTTCACAACCTTTGGGGTTGAGCACACTGCTAGCTCCTCCTTAAATGTTGAGATCTTGAACAAGGGTGGAAAGCCCTTATTCGTCTTTATGTTGTTAGACTCCTGTGTGCTTCTCTCTCAGCCTTATTCACGTTCCTGCTATCTCCGAGATGCGTCAGCAGTACAATCTTTCATTATTCCACCTCAGTCTTGATCGCCTGCCCTGAGTCTTCACAGCCTTTAGGGGTCGCTCCTTCATAGATGGCTACCACTCTACGTCCGATACTTCTTTTACCGTCGTGATCTCCGTGGTAATAGGTCCTTTATTCACCTTTGATTCTTTAATCCTTTTTACTCCCTTTTCCTTTACCCTTATCTTTTGTTCTTTTATCCTTTTCATTCCCTTTTCCTTTACCCTTATATCTTTATCTTTTGTTCTTTTATCCTTTTCACTCCCTTTTCCTTTATCCTTATATCTTTATCCCTTTCCTTTAGATGTTTTCAGCTCGATTGCCAAAACAAGAATGAATTTCCCTGCAATAATTCGCTCCTTTTATAGGGAAATTTTCCTTTTCATCCTTTCTCTTTCATACCCTTTTCTGTCTCTTTCATTCTTTTTGAAAATGAAATGTCCGTTAAATTTCTTTTGCTTTATATTCATCATTTCAACAAAAACTAGTAATGGAGCCGATCACGATTCATGGAAATAATCACACCATCATATACAACTCTGTATGTATTGTTGAGCATGCTCAAAATAATCGTTTAGCGTGCTCACCTGAGCATGTCTTTCAAATATCTAAACTTGAACAATATTGTCTGGAAATTATTATTTATTTATTTAAACTAAAGATAGTTATAGATAAAGAGTGATTTTTATTTAAGATTTTTCAATTTTCATTCTAAATGACATGGATCAGACAAATTTGTAAACAATGAATATTTTTTATGGAATTACCCATATACAGTAGAGTCCGAAAAGAAAGACTGACCATTGTATTAAGAGGTTTTTTGATCGTAAACTGAGCCAATTTTAATAATTTTTTCAGTGTTTGAATAAGAATTTAAAATCAAATCAAATAATTTGTTCCCTCACACTCAAATATTGTTAATTATAGTAGAAATTTATTTCTATATTCACACCAATTCACACCGTTTTCACGTGTGAATCTATTGGTTTTGTTCAGATTGAAAAATCATTTTCCATTTTGTGAGAAAACGAAGCAAAATTGGTCATAAAAGGTCCGAAAAGAAAAGTTTGTGCCTTAAATTTTACATCCTTTGCAAAACACAGATTTTAAGCTGGTTTCGGCATTGCTGATGAAATCGCAAAAAACGCTTTCCGTAAGCAAACAAGCAAACAAGTTAATCAGCAAGAAATCTCAATAACGAGATATCGTAGAGACTTCTAGTTTTTTACATTAGATCCGTGCTGCTCTATAGAAAAGCTGTATTGTTTTGAGGCAATGTAGGAACAGGCATCAATTCAGAAAAACCAAAAAACTTTCCTTTCTAACGAATTTTTTTACGAAAGAATGCTTGTTAAGCTTTAAACCTTCAAACTTATGCTGAGCGAAGCTCAGCTGACTCACTAGCTTTATACCTTCAAACTTATGGGGCCGTTCACTTATTACGTTCGCATTTTAGGGGGGAAGGGAGGGGGGGGGGGGGGGTTTGAAAAATTGTAACAAAATGTAACATAGGGGGGGGGGGGTAAAGAAGTATGTAACGTTCTAACTGTCGTCTGTCTTTAAAAAAAAGTTCACGAAAAAAATTTGTTTACAAATTTACACCAAAAACATATTTTTAAATTTTCCACCTTTTTAATGATAAAATAAATTATGAACGTTCAGGGGGGGGGGGGGGTTGTGAGTTGTAACATATTGTAACAAGGGGGGGAGGGGGGGGGGGTGAAAAAAATCGTTTTTTTGCGTAACGTAATAAGTGAACGGCCCCTATGCTGACTCGCTAGCTTTACACGTTCAAACCTATGCTGAGCAAATCTTGGTCTTTCCATAAGACTTTTGATGGTATCGTGTGAATATATCCGCATTGGGTTTCTACCCGATACACTAGTTTATACACAAATTGTAAACAAATTTTTGTTGAAACTAAATTAAAAATTTCTGGAGTTAGATATCAAATTGGAAATAAACATTTCAATAGGATATGCCTTAAGTTAAGATCTTTAATCTGGTACCCAAGAGATGAAATTTAATTAATATGATATTTTTAAATTTTTGAAAAAAATTCCGAATTTGAATCCACAATGAACTAAAGAAGAGATTGATGTGAGCGACCGAATTTCAGCATTTGAAAAGTTTGTGTGTTCGAATTGATTTGCTGACATTCTATTATTTAATTGGAAGTGTCACCTTTTGAGTATCAAAAACTGTTGGAATATGCGATTCTATGTAATAGCCACTGTAACTTATATATGGGATTTAGCAATAATCGTCTAACCCCCGATAGCTCAGTCCCGATCGGGATCCGTTATTAACCTTTTTTCTGTGGTTTTGTCATCTAGAAGTTTGCTTCTTCCTTCTAGATGTTTCAATAAAAACGTTTGAAAAATTGTAAGAATCGTTATAGGACGGGAATTAGACATGTCAGAAATTTTTGAAATTATAAATCGCGAAAAAACGAAGCTTTTTATCTCCATCCGTTGACGAAATCTCATTGAACTCTCAAAATGAATGACAAAGCACATTTTTCAAAGAAAATGCTTTAAAATGCAATCTATAATAATAAATAAGTTATGAGTAAAATGGCGTTGGAGACTATTTGTAAAATAATCAATAGATGTCAGAATTTAAATCTTCGTAATTGAGGGTTAATAAATTAAAAATTATCAGGCGCAAAAGCTTTGTGTAATATTTTTTTTTTGGTAAGATACGTTAAAATTTCTTAATCTTTAATCCTGGCTGATGGCTAACTTAGCTATCCAAACTGATCGAATCATTACTCATGTGCATTGAAAAAGTGTCCCAAAAGTGAAAGGAGTAATGTAGAACATAATCAATAATGTATGTAGTTAATAACAATATCCATTAAACTATTATTCAGTTAAGATTCCAATGCCACAGCATGCATACTTTAAATGATTCGCAAAAAACGGATGTTTTGAATGTTGAATGTCGAATTGAAGTAAAATTATTACAAAAATATGGAAATTATAAAAAAAACTAATTTTCTGGAAAAATACACTACCAAATATTTGGACAGTTCTATGAATTCATCAAAAATGATTTTTAACTCTTCTCGAGCTTGAATTTTTTATTTTTTTTATAATGTAACTTTACACAACTTTACAAAACTAATGCTTTATGAATACCTGATTAACGTATTCATTTCACTATTATATTTTCATAAACAACATTTTAATCAAAGAATATGTTGTTAATTAAAGTAAAATTTTATATTTTTAAAATTATTTTTTTAAGGATTAGGACTAGCCTAAAATAATATTGTCATTAGAAATTTAAAAAAAATTTACGCATCTTTTGGCATGCATCCATGAAAAGCACGCTGACGCCTGTTTTTTTTTACTCAAGATTAATTAAGTAGGGAAAGTCAAACTTTTTTAGTCTTTCATCAACACTTGAAACGAAGAGAAGTAAATACGAAAAAGAAAAGTTTGAGAAAGTGCAGGAATGTGTGAAGTTCAAGCGACATTTACGATTTCCCTTATAAAACCAAAAATGCAAGAAATTGTAGAAAAATCTTCTGAAAAATTGACAGTAGATAAGAATAAACAAATAATGATGAGTTTTGTGGATAAACTGTGGTCCATGGAAATAAGTGGAGGTTTTGAATCATCGCCTCTAGTTGTAATTGGAGTTAAGAAAAATGGCTTAGCTAAGCGGGCTGGAATAAAAGTTGGAGATATTATTTCACACATAAACAATATACCGACCAATAAAATGACTCTAAATGATGCTCAGTTAGAAATACAAGAGTCTGGCAAAAGCTTAAAGCTAACTGTGAAAAGGTTAGATATTTAAAAAAAGAACAAAAAGAAAATTTGAAGCTATAACTTTTTACTGTTGTCTTAATAGTACTTTAGACGAGACAACCAGCAGTAGTAACGATGAAGACGAAACACCAAATACAGTAGATTTTTGGTTTAAGCCTAGTAAGTTGCATGTTTATATTCGCTAACGATTTTTAATTTAGTATTCTCAAATAAGTAAAACCCGAAGATCTTGATTTACTGAAATGGAAGAGAAAGCGGGATGAAAAGAGAAGGGTAACATTTTTTTTTTGTTATATACTCAACATTCATACCTAAATTATCATTTCAGACAACAAAATTACTTTATCAGGATTTCCCTTGGAATGATCGTCAAAAGGTTCCTCTCAGAGCATCAAATTGTTTCAAGGTTAATGAGAAAAAACAAGAGCGAGAAATCAAATTAAAAGCTTCAAAAGAACGTTTTAATGAGTGTAAAAAAGAAATACAGTCATGAATATAACACTTACTCTCCAAATTCTTTATGTATTTTTATAATTTTTCGCATTCACTTTATTGTGTTTAAACCTTAGCATTGAACTAGAAAATGATGTAAATATAAAATTGATGTGGCGCTTGTTGTTCTAATTTTATTTTATTTAATGAGGCCATTAAAAGATATTATTTAAATTTTGTTTCTTCCTAATGTTTTTATATATAAAAGTTTTGACTTAACTATCATGCTTACTTGCACCATAATCAATTTTTCTATCGTTTTATTTACGAAAAAAAACTTTGAATTAATAAATGTTATTAATAAAATTTAATTATAAATTAACTGATGAATATAACAACTGTTATTATGTTTTTATTCAATTATTTATTTCTATGCTCATAATATTCTAAAATTTCTATTCTGAAAAAGTATTTAAAAATAAATTTGAAGGTATAAAGCTAGCGAGTCAGCTGAGCTTCGCTCAGCATATGTTTGAAGGTTTAAAGCTTAACGAACATTTTTTGAAAGATTTTCAAAAATTTTTTTCATCCAAAGTCTAATTTAAAAAAAATGGAACTAGACAATTGCACCGAAAAATAATAAGTCCACAACACTAGAGGATAATAAACCCGAAAAATGAAAAATCACGGAGAGACAATAAGGCCACTTATAAAATTTTAATTTTTCAAGTGGTCTTAATATTTTCACTGCAAGATAATGTATGAGGGATTTTTGTCTTCACTTGAAGTTTAATATCTCACTATGAGGCAATAAGATCACTTGAAATCGTAAGTGGATTTATTACCTCACAGTGAGATATTTAATCCACCTTTATTTCTTAGTGGACTTATTGTCCTTTTGTGCAAAACATTACAACAAAATATTGATCAGGTAAAAAAAGTTGTAACATATTTAATTGCTTTTCAAAAAATTGTCAAATTTAAACTTTATTTTTCATGTGGGTGAATTTACTATCTACTAGAATTTTTATCTAAAAATATAAGTATCAATTTAAACAAGTTCTTCATACAAAAAGGTATTTAAGATTTCACAATTTTTGAACTGAATTGTGTAATTTTCAACAATTTTACAATATTGTATTTAAAACTTAATCTTATAAACTAGATAAAAATATGCCAACATAGGACAACGGTCCCTCATTTTTTGATATATGGCCCTTTATTCTTCGAAGTCGGAAAAATAATTTGTTTACATTTTGAATCTATTCCATGAATTTAAACTTTATTTCGTGTGTTTTAGTTTTTTAAATAGTTTTAAAATTACTAGACATCTAATAAAGCAATTTTGACAAACTCATTAAAAAGTGTGTGAAATTGAAATTTTTGAAACAATAACGGAAAAAAAATTCGTTGTCTTGTACTATGGGTCCTAGATTCGAGTAGATTTGAATAGTATTTTTCTGGAACAAAACACCTACTCAAATCAAGGACCCCCTATTGAAAAATATGTTTTTTTTCTGTCTGAAGATGTGTAATACAAAATGGTAATTTCTTTGTTTATTCAAACAATTCAAATCAAAGTATGAGTTTTAAATTAAAATTGAGACTTTTTAAGATTGTCAGTTAAAATCAAAGTGAGGAAACTCAAAATCTACGATTAAACAAAATCTTTTATTAAAGAATTCGAAATTTTATAAAAATGTCAAAATTTTCATTCAGATTTCAAAAGATTTTCATAGAGGCAATGTCAAAATAGCCAGTTGAAAAATTGTTGATTTTACTTAAATTAATTTATTTTTCAAAATAATATTGTCATTTTCTGAAAAATAAGAGAATAAAAAGCTTGTAAAAAGGATTCTGATAAGCTCAAAAGATAGCAAAAAATCAATAATTAATGATCATTACAATTTTTGAGTTTGTCTCCATTCAAAATTTGGGATTCTTTAAATTTCCATGTGATTTTAATTAAAATGCTTATGCTGTTAGAATCTTAAACGTTGCTTTTAAAGCGATTAATCTATGAAATTAGTGAAAATATTTTTTTCATCAAAATTATCGTTTATAATATTTCCGAACATGTTTATATTGTTCAACAATCTAATGTCAGAGAATTGGATTTTGACATTGTCACTCTCTGGATTTTCATCACAAATTTTTATTTTTGTTTCACGAGTTGAACGGTTTTATTTTATATTCACACCATTTTCTCGTGTGAATCTATTGGTTTTGTTCAGATTGAAAAATCAGTTTTTCGCGTTTTGTGAAAAACGAATCGAAATTGGTTGTAAAATGTCCCAGAAAAAAAGTTTGTGCATAAAATTTTACATCATTTGCAAGAAACAGATTTCAAATTGGTTGCGGCATTGCTGAGAAAATTGCAAAATACGCTTTCTGTAAGCAAGCAAACAAGTAAACAAGCATGCAAGTTTATCAGCAAGAAATCTCAATAACGAGATATCGTAGAGACTTCTAGTTTTTTACATTTGATCCGTGCTGCTCTATAGAAGAGCTGTATTGTTTTTGGGCAAGGTAGGAACAGCCGTTGCTTCAGAAAAAGCAAAAAACTTCCTTTCTTACGAATTTTTTAAAACAAATGTTCACTGTGATTTTTATATTATATAATTAAACTTTGCATATAGGGAATGAGGTGGTAGAAGAAGTGGACAAGTTTGTCTACTTGGGCAGTATTATTTCTAAGGACGGCGGTGCTGAAGACGACGTCCGTAACCGCATTAGACTGGCCAAAGCAGCTTTTGGCTCATTACGACATGTCTGGACCTCCCCCCGACTTTTGAGACGACTGAAGCTGAAGATCTTCAACTCGAACGTCAAGCCTGTACTTCTTTACGCATGCGAGACTTGGAAAGTTACAAAAGCTCTTACACAACGCATCCAAGTTTTCGTCAACAAATGTCTGAGAGCAATATTTGGCATCTACTATCCTCAAACAATAAGGAACACAGAGCTGTATGCAATGACTAAACAACAAATTATTGCAGACGAAGTTGGTAAAAGGAAATGGAACTGGATTGGCCATACATTAAGGAAAGACCATACAGACATCGCGAGACAAGCGATTTTCTTAATTTGTCCAAGGAAATAGGACTAGGGGCCGACGGAGAATTACTTGGCTTGGCGTACAACTGTTGAACGGGAGGCGGAACAACAGAACAAGCAGCTGCAGGAAATAGCAACTTTGGCCCAGAATCGAGTGCGATTCAAATGCTTTGTGGACGCCCTACGCTTCATAGTGGAGCAATAGGAACCCATTATCATCATCAATTAAACTTTGGATGAAAAATTTTTTTAAAAAAACTTTTAAAGAATGGTCGTTAAGCTTTAAATCTTCAAACTTATGCTGAGCGAAGCTCAACTGACTCGCTAGCTTTATACCTTCAAACTTATGCTGAGCTAATCTTGGTCTATCCATAAGACTTTTGATGGTACGGTGTGAATATGGCCGCATTGGGTTTCTACCCAATACACTAGTTGTTATTATTATTATTACTACGTTTTTCTTAACTTGCTTTCTTGTTTGTTTGTTTGTTTGTTTGTTTGTTTGTTTGTTTGTTTGTTTGTTTGCAAAAAATTTCAAATCTTGCGATCAATTTTTCGACCACTTCTACTGCTCCAATCGAGCTCAAATTTTTAATGCACATGTATTCCCGGTGACAATACAATATTTTAACACTTTGGAAACACAAAAATGCTTAATTATAGTACAATTTATGTAAAACTTTTTTATATGGGAAAAAATCCAATGTCAATGATATAAAATTTTGATTTGTATTAAATATTATACTTGTGATGCTCTAAAGTCATTTATATGATTCATTATAGTTTAATTAATATTACTAATTATTAATTATACCATAAATTTGAGCAGCTAAAGATATTCTGGTAAGACAAAAAAATTGACATGTAATTTTTTCATGAATATTCGTAAGTGAAAATTTGAATTTTCAAAAAAACCGTTAAGCACAAGTCCGTTACGAATTAATGCAAAATAACTATTAATATGCGATGTGCATTTAGCACACATAGTTTGAGCATAAATTTATGCTGTTTTAAATGTATTGCATTATTTATAACACTTCACCAACTTAATTAAATTGACTTTTCTTTTTATTAACGGTTTGACGTATTTTTGCATAACATATAAATGATATTCATTGAATTTATATTTGAAAATCCGTTATAAATACGTTACATATAGATTTGATTTGCATCTTTATGTTAAGAATCCACACTTTATGTAGTAGGAATGGTTCGGATAAACACAAAATCTTTACGAGTGATTTTTAATGTACTTTACTAATGAATGCTTTAAAAAAATTAAATTTTATAAAACGAATGAAAAATTTTGAAAGTCGTTACTAATTTCCCATTGAAAACTGGTAATTTATAAACAGTTGAACGCAACGAAGTGAAGTTCAACACACCTGTAACCTATAAACCTACTGTAATCTATAAACAGTTAAACGTAACGAAGTGCAACGAAGTGAAGTTCAACACACCTGTAACCTATAAACCTACTGTAATCTATAAACAGTTAAACGTAACGAAGTGCAACGAAGTGAAGTTCAACACACCTGTAACCTATAAACCTAATGTAATCTATAAACAGTTGAACGTAACGAAGTGCAACGAAGTGAAGTTCAACACACCTGTAACCTATAAACCTACTGTGATCTATAAACAGTTGAACGTAAAGAAGTGCAACGAAGTGAAGTTCAACACACCTGTAACCTATAAACCTACTCTAATCTATAAACAGTTGAACGTAACGAAGTGCAACGAAGTGGAGTTCAACACACCTGTAACCTATGAACCTACTGTAATCTATAAACAGTTGAACGTAACGAAGTGCAACGAAGTGAAGTTCAACACACCTGTAACCTATAAACCTACTGTAATCTATAAACAGTTGAACGTAACGAAGTGCAACGAAGTGAAGTTCAACACACCTGTAACCTATAAACCTACTGTAATCTATAAACAGTTGAACGTAACGAAGTGCAGCGAAGTGAAGTTCAACACACCTGTAACCTATAAACCTAA